AGGAGGTCACTATGAGTTGGAATCAACTCGATGGCAGTGAGTTTGTTTGTTTTTTTTTCTTTTTGTATCAACCACGACAGGGATGATTGAGGTGCCTGGTGACAACAAAAGGAGCCCTGGTGGTGCAGTGGCTAAGTGCTCTGCTGCTAACCAAAAGGTCAGCGTTTCAAACACGCCAGCTACTCTGTGGGAAAAAAGATGAGGCAGTCTGCTCCTGTAGAGACTTGCAGCCTTGGAAACCCTACGAGGCTTTTCTGCTCTGTCCTTTCGGGTCACTATGAGTCAGAATTTACTCGATGGCAGTGGGTGTGGTTTGGGTTTTGGTGACAGTGAATGAGAGTAAACAGGGACCTGGAGCAGGACACGAACATCTTCCAGGAACCCGTTCTTTGTTGCTGGGACCGAGTTGTGCAGTAGAGGACCCACAAGCCACCTTGACCCTTCACCCCTCTCCCCTCCCCACCACCCAGATGTAGACAAGTCTGTCTGCCCATCATAAGCCTCTGTGGTTTTCCATGACATCCCATGGGTCAGGGCTCTGCTACCATGGAGTCAGGCAGTGGGGCTGGAAGGAAGGACACCGTGTGCCTGGGAGATAGATGGCTTCCTTGCTTCTCCACCCGACGCTCCGTAGGACATGGATTTGCTGCTGGTGGAAGAACAGGAACGGGAAGGATGTGGGCTCTCCCACCAGGACTTGGTGGGGCCCCAGACTGCTGTCTTCCTGTGCCTCAGCTGGCTGGCCGTGTGACCCCAGTGCAGAGGACTGAGTTGGTATCTTGATGACTTTTTGGACAGTCCCTCCCTCTTCCTTGTCTGAATCTTTAGGAAACTGCTTTTGGCAGGTGTCAACAGGCACCTCCTGTGACAGGGTGTCCACAGTGCAGTGACCACAGTGGGTTGTATTGTAAGAAGGCAGATAATGAAAGACCATTCCTCTCCCCAGTTTTTGCTCTTCTCATTAGCTCATTGGTAGGCTCACTTGGACTGGGCATCTGGGGTGTGGACTCTCATTCTGCCCTGCTTCCCCACTCTGGGTCACCAGGTTCCAGCCTTGACCCCTAGGCTCTCCCATGCCCAGGGTCCCTGTTCTCAGCCAGCCTAGGGTCTCTCCTAGAGAGGAGACCCCCACTTCCAGCAGGGGAGGGTTCCAGCTCTCTAGGTCCTTCAAGGCATGAACCACAATTGACATTTCTGGCTTCTCTTGAAAACCATGGCTCTGGGCACCCAGTCAAGCATGGCACTGTGTGTGGCTCTGCACTGTAAAGAAGATTTGTGCCATCCAGCTTACCACCGGCCCTCCCATTCAGTTGTCCAATCCCTGCAGCCTTGCTCATTTACCATGGGAACTGGCCCCTGGAGGCACTGGGTTTTACAATCTCTGTCCTTAGCAAGGGGTGTGAAGGAAAGGAGCCCAGTGACCAGGCAGGGTGGAAGGTCCAAGCAAGGTGAGCCTGGCTGGAGGCCAAGAGAAGGAACTGGCCCAGATGGAGAGTTGGAAGGTGATTTGGGGGTAATGGGAGAGGTAGCTGCAAAGATGCTGAGAAGAGGAGGTGTAGGGCCGAAACCACACCCTTTCTACCCAGTTTCTCAATCATGCTCTATTGGTCCTCTTCCTTCCTCTTTCCTCACTTCCTTTCTTTGCTTGTTCTTCTTCTGCCAAGGCCCAGCCCCCACTCCCTTTGGGGTACAAATAAAGAGGGACCTCAGGAAGAGATACCCAGTGGCACTCTCAGTCTTGCCTCTGTTGGGGTATAGGCCAGGTCTGCCAGGCTTGTCTCCTCTCCCATAGACGGACACCATCAGGGAGGGTGGAAGCCAACCATGGTGAGCAGTGATGGGGGTAGAACTGTGCTGTTGTCTGTCTTCTGGCCCCGAGTTAGGCAAGGAGGAAGGAGTTTATTGAGATATGTCATTCCCACAGCCATATCTGCCCTTGTCCTCCACCCCTAAATTGGGATAAGGTAGATCCCACAGATATATTGGGGGCCCAGAGGGTGCCCAGCCCAGTGCCTAGAGAGGCAGATGGAGGTACAGCTTCTGGACCTTGTCAGAACAGAGCATCAGGTAGGAAGGGGAGGAAAGAGCAGTGAGGTGGCATGGCCAGCAGCAGTAGGAGCTCTGAGAATGGCAAAGTAGGCCCGTAGGCCTGTGCCATGGGGGCAGGCTCCCAGAGGAGGGGCCCAAGCTGGTCCTGAAGGATGGGTGATCAGGAAGCTTGTCTGGCTCCACTGCACGGTGTGGACTCTGCCAGAGGAGAGAAGCATGGACTCGAGGAAGAGATGGGCAATCCCTGGAGGAGGGGCCTCGCCTGGGCTTTGGACAGACTGTCCATGGGGTCCAAGCTCCAAATCCAGGACCAGGTCAAACTTGCGTTCTTCATTAAGCCTGTCCTTCCTCACAGTCCTGTTTATCCAAGGCCTAGGAAGCTCGAGGGACAGCCTACCTGGGTGATTTTTAGTGATCACCATTGGCAGTGCTGCCAGGGAAGGGCCTCCGGGGCAGGGCCATGTGGAGGGCTCACTCAGTGTCTCCTTGAGGTCTGTAGGGAAAGCAGAGGGGGCACCTGAGGTGCTGCTCATGTGCACACAGTCACACACTGCAGACCAGGGGACCTGGGAATCAGCAAGGACCCGTGACCATCAGTCTCCATCTGTAAGATGGGGGTGATGCACATACCTCCTTAAGTGTTGTTCTGAAAGTTAAAACATATGCACAGCACTTACCATTGTGTGTGGCTTGATTCTTGTGGAAACATCACCTTTCACTGCTGCTCTCGTGTTTGGTGGAGGAGCTCCTGCCAGACCCTCCCTGTGCAGGGTGCTGTCCAGACCTGCGTCCAGCTGACTCCAGCCCACCCTGCCGGTCCAGCATGCCTCCTCTTTAGCCCTCATTTTCCTCATCTGTAAAATGGAGCTTAGGTTAGTACAACTCTAAATTCTGGCTTTCTTTTTTTTTTCCCCCCCATAAAACTAAATGAAACATTGGTATTCATTAATCTCTGGTAGCGTAGTGCCTAAGGCACTTGACTGCTAACCAGAAGCCTGGCGGTTCAAACCCACCAGCCACTCCTCGGAAGGAAGATGGGGTAATCTGCTTCCATAGTGATACTGCCTCAGAAACCCAAGGAGGGGTCGCTTTGAGTTGGGTCTGACTTGATGGCACGTAACAACAACAACAACATGATTTGGGTGAAAGTTTACCGAGCAAATTCACTTTCCATACAGCAGTTCACACACAGGTTATCTCAGGACATTGACTAGACTACAATTTACCCCAATGCAACAGCTCCCCTCCCACTTCCTCCCAATAGTTAGCTCTTCCCTGTGTCTATCCCTTCATGCACTCCTACTCCCTGAACTGTCTTAAGTTCTGGCTTTCTTGAATCTGGGACTGTGTTTCCCCCTAATGACTGTGTGTTGCACTAGCAGGGACCATGAATCTCCAAGCACACAGTGGGGATTCAACCAAACTTATGGACAGTTTGGGTCTCCTTGTCCCTTTCTTTCTTGAAGGGCCCAGAGGCTAGGCAGTGGGAAGGGGGCCCAAATAGCCCAAGGGACCTGGAGTAAACATACTTTCTCTGCCTTCAGCCCATCTCCTCCGTCCAGCTGTGTAAAGGAAACACAGCAGTTCCTTTTGGCTATGAAGATAATGCCAAGGCTGGACTGCTTTTGCTGTTGTAATTAGCAGTACTTAACTACGGTGGGTTTTGGTTTTGGGGTTTAATTGCATCTGACCACCTGAGCTGGGGCAATCCTGGGCTGTGGGCCCAGCCCTCCTCCCACCCTTCTCTGACTGGAGGATGGCTTGGCTTGGGAAAAGGTGGAGCAGGCCGTAGAACCACCAGGAGAGCTTGTTACAACAGCAATGCTGGGCTGTACCCCTGGACACGCAGAGGCCTCTGACTTTCCCCAGACCCTGTCACCCCATGACTCTGGTCCTTGGCCAGGCTAAGTTTAGCCATGAACTTCATAGGCCACTACCTCTCTGTGGGCAAGGCTGGGGGGTGGAGAGGAACTCAACAGGTTCCTGCCGGCTTCCTGGCAAGCAGATAGACAAAACTAGTCACCATGAGGTGACCCAGGCTTATTTTCAAGCCAAGACCACCAGCCAAAAAAGCTTAGAGCTTTGGGCCAGTGTGCAGGGGACATTGGGAGTAAAGGGTCCTTTGGGATGGAGTATGTGAGTGTGTGTGTGTGTGAGTGCACGCATGCACACAGCTTATGGTTTTGTGAGATGCTCCCAGCCAGCCATGGTCTCCAAAGGTCCACACACCCCTGTTCCATCCCCTCATTCTTCTGGTCTCCTGGCAGTATTCCTTCCACTTGGCTTGGTTTGGTGGGGGAAAGTAGCAGAACCTTTGAACTTGACCTTGTCTAGTGGGCACAGAGAGCCATAGCCCCATTCCCCATCCCAGCCTGACCCTCCCTGCCCCTTCCCTTCAGGTCCTGCAGACAGAGCCATCCTGCTCCAAGTTTAGCGAGGAGGAAAGAAACAGCCAGAGTCTGATCCTGAGAGGAGAAGATGGTGTAATCAGGGAGGTGAGTCAGAGGGAACCTCGCACCCCTCCTCCTGCTGAGAACTCCTGACCTGAGAAGGAGCCAAGCTCTGCCCTCCCCCTTTGCTGGGGGGCAGGGTGGGTGAGGTGATGTGCGGAGGAACAGCAGTCAGCGGCTCACGGACAGGAGCAGGTCATGCTTTCGGAGCCCCTGGGAGCGTGCTTTCCTCCAGACCCTGGGGTTGGGCAGGGCTGGTGTGTTTGCAGGGGAGAAAACAGTGGAGACTGAGGGGACAGGAGCTGATACCCATGGGGTGTGTACTCTAGGCCCGGCACTGTGCTAAACACCCACGGTGTTTTATCTTGCTTAACCCTCACAGACTCCCTGTGAAGGAGGGGCTGTTATTAACCCCATTGCACAGGGAAAGCAGTGGAGTCCTAGAGAAGCTGAGAGACTCGCCCAAGATCACTCAGCAAGGGGCAGAATCGAGGTTCACACCAGGTCGGCCTCGCTCTGCAGCCCAGGTTTCTGGGGAGCTGTGTCCGGGCGTTCCTTCTGAGTCTTGTTTGTAGCCCTGTTGTCAGTGTCACTGTGGGCTGCTTGTATCTTGCCAGAGTTCCTTGTCAGGGTATCTGTGGCCCACTCCATCACTAGCTCCTGTAAGTAGGCTCAACTGCATAGTCCTGGCTTATTACAGCTTCCCTTTTCTAAGAAAATTTGCTCAGGGCAAGCATTTTGCTAACTTTATGTGTTATCTCATTCAAGCCTTACAATAGCAGGGACACCCACTCCTTACTTACTGACTACCTTGTATCCAACATTTCACCTTTATGGCAGTAGTAAAAAAATCTACTATCCTGTTTTGTTCATTAACAACATACATATGGCAGGAATGATCACCAAGGTATGAGACGAGAGTAATGCTGGCTGTGATGGTTAAGGTTATGTGTCAACTTGAAAAACAAAAACAAACAAACAAACCGCCAAGTCAGTTCTGACTCATAGCAACCCCTCCTTGGGTTTCTGAGGCAGTATCTCTATGGAAGTACATTGCCCAGTCTTCTTCCAAGGAGTGGCTATCATCATGTGGATAAACCCAAAGGACATTATGCTGAGTGAAATAACTCGATCACAAAAGAACATATATTGTATGAGTCCACTATCCTAAAAAGACAAGGACTTAGAAAGAAACATTCTTTGATAGTTCCCAGGAATGGGAGGGAAAATCACTAACTAGATAAGAGCCAAGTATTAATTTGGGTGAAGGGAAAGGAAATATACATGCCTTTATCTGGACACTGAGATCCACATTAATCAGCCAGGCTGACAGTTTGGCCATGGACCACTCTGCTTTTCTAACTCTTCCTATTGATGTTTCTCTAATGTAGAAACCAGGGCCAGCCTGTTTCTGCAATTATCTCACAAGATGCTCCTTGGGTTGGAGAATAACAGCTGGCTAGCTGCCCTGAACTTTTTCTCACCCTTCCAATCTACTTCCTCCACTTTCACTGTCTCCCATATTTCCTTCTCAGGTGGAAGCATCTCTGAGGAATAAACTTGTCTGTGCACTGACTGCTACGGAGGCCAAACCCTCCCCCAACTCCTTTTCCGTTCTTGCTAAAATGCCCAGCCGTGTCCTCGGCTCTGATTTCCTGTGTTGGCGTCTTTCTCAGGCAGTCTCCTCTTCATTGTGGCTTGAGAGCCACTAGCCCTGCTGGTGTAATCCTGCTCTCTTGGCAACTCTAGGCAACAGGGTGAGTCCTCCCCACTGGTCCAGCAAGTCCTAGGTCTGTCTCCCATTGGCCTGAATTGAGCCATATGTTCATCCCTGAACCAATCCCTTTGGCTGGGGGGTAGAATAAGCTGATGGTCTTGGGCCTGGGTTATATGCTCACCCTTGGAACTGGGTTCATTCCACTTCCAAACCATAAACACTACGAGTGGAAAAGGAATAGTTTCCCGGGCAAAATAGGGTGCTGTTACCAGAAAGAGGGATGGCTGGACGACAGAAACAGATGTCCATCACAGAAGATTGTTGGGTCGAGATTGCCAGTGTAGGACTTTGGGGTTCCTTCTCCCAAGGCTAGATTGAGGCACCAGAGGAAGTTGCAAGGAAGGAACAGTGAGGTGGGTGGGGGAACTGTAGGACACTTACCAGCTCTGTGGGGCAGAGGTTGGTGCAAGGGTGCAGGAAGAGGTAGTGCTGAGGAGCAATTGGTGTGACTTATCAGTCTCTCTCTGTTTCCAGGAAAGCTGTGGCCATGGCCCTGGGGCTCTTCCGGGTATGCCTGGTGGTGGTGACAGCCATCATCAACCACCCGCTGCTGTTCCCGCGAGAGAATACCACTGTCCCCGAGAACGAGGAGGAGATCATCCGTAAGATGCAGGAACACCAGGAAAAGCTGCAGCTGGAGCAGCTGCGCCTGGAGGAGGAGGTGGCGCGGCTGGCAGCCGAGAAGGAAGCTCTTGTGCAGGCAGCCGCAGAGGGCCAGCAGCAGAACGAGACCCGCACGGCCTGGGACCTCTGGAGCACCCTGTGTATGATCCTCTTCCTGATGATTGAGGTGTGGCGGCAGGACCACCAGGATGGGCCCTCGCCCGAGTGCCCTGCTGGTGATGAGGATGAGCTGCCTGGCCTCGGGGGGCCCCCACTCCGTGGCCTCATCCTGCCCAACAAGGCTACACTCAGCCACTTCTATGAGCACTGCATCCGGGGGGCCACCGCTGATGCCGCCCGCACCCGGGAGTTTGTGGAAGGCTTTGTGGATGACTTGCTGGAAGCCCTGAGAAGCCTCTGCAACCGGGACACAGACATGGAGGTGGAGGACTTCATCGGTGTGGACAGCATGTATGAGAACTGGCAGGTGGACAGGCCGCTGGTGTGTGACCTCTTTGTGCCCTTCACACCCCCTGAGCCTTACCGCTTCCATCCAGAGCTCTGGTGTTCCGGCCGCTCGCTGCCCCTGGATTGCCAGGGCTATGGCCAGATCAAGGTGGTCCGGGCTGATGACGACATGCTGGGCTGTATCTGCGGCAAGACCAAGCTTGGGGAAGACATGCTGTGTCTCCTCCATGGCAAGAACAACATGGTGCGGCCTGGCGGCGAGATGGAGGACCTGCTGTGTGCCAGAGAGTCCCCGTACCTGGACACCATGCAGGTCATGAAATGGTTCCAGACGGCTCTCACACGAGCCTGGCACCGCATTGCCCACAAGTACGAGTTTGGCCTGGCCTTTGGTCAGTTGGACACCCCAGGGTCCCTGAAGATCAAGTTCCGCTCAGGGAAGTTCATGCCCTTCAACCTGATTCCTGTGATCCAGTGTGAAGACTCAGACCTATACTTTGTCTCCCACCTTCCCAGGGGACCCCCTCAGTGGACCCCAGTGTCCAACACTGACTGGCTCCTGTCCTTTGCTGTCTACGAGCGACACTTCCTCAGGGTGACATCCAAGGCACTGCCCGAGGGTGCCTGCCACCTCAGCTGCTTGCAGATCGCCTCCTTCCTGCTATCCAAGCAGACTCGCCTGACCGGCCCCAGTGGGCTCAGCAACTACCACCTGAAGACAGCCCTGCTGCACCTCCTGCTTGCCCGGCAGGCCACCGACTGGAAGGCCACACAGCTCGACGCTCGTCTGCAAGAGTTACTTCGCTTCCTCGAGAAGAGCCTGCTAGAGAAGAAGCTCTATCACTTCTTCATTGGCAACCACAAGGTGCCCGAGACCATGGGACTCCCCGGGGCCATCCGCAGGGCTGAGCCTCTCAACCTCTTCCGTCCCTTTGTCCTGCAGCGAAGTCTGTACCGTAAGACGGCAGACACCTTCTATGAGATGCTCAAGAATGTCCCAGCACTCATTAGCGAATATTCCCTACATATCCCTTCAGACCATACCAGCCTACCCCAAAAAGCTGTCATCTTTTGAGCATCTGGGACCCAGAGGATCGAGCCAGAGTGCACCCCACCACGTCTGTGTCTCCGGGGGCATCTGCAAGCCTGTCCTGGGAAAATGGCGGGCTTTTGGGGATCTATGGCTCATCCTGCTAGGAAAGCCAGGTCCTACAGAGCAGAGGAAATGGGATTCCAAGCTGGAAGCTGGTTTGCTTTTATGCTCTTGGGGCCTGTTGCTGAAGTTCTTGTTTGGGTTTGGGGACTGATCATTTGCCACTTAAGTTTTAGATCACCTTGAATGGCCAAGATATTGTCAGAACCCTCTATGGACACTGAATCAGTGACAATTCAAACATCGACTTGGGAATAATTTTTTTTACGTCACATGTCCAGTCTTTACTTGAATGTCAACAGAGGATCTGCAAGAATGCTGACAGGGACCAGTGTGAAAGAGGGGCCCAGTAGCCTGATTCCCAATAAACTGGCCTCAGCCCACCTGCAGCCAGACCACTAATAGGGACAGAGATGGACATTCACAGCCTGGACAACCACAGCCTGGACAACCACAGGGGTCTCATAGTGACTGTCACTTTCTTAAACCGTTTGGAGAAAAGACCTGGTAGAGAGTCAAGTCCCAAATGGCGGCTCACGTCTCTGTTACACAGAAATGGGTACTTGGTGGCAGAGTTTTAAAGCTATCTGCTTTTTCAGCTACACTTGTCACTCAGGGGCACTTCTTCCTCTCTATCCCTTCCCCAAGCGTGCTGGGTCCCAAGCACCATGGATGCCATAGATGGTGCTGTGCAGACTCACTGGCCCGCGCACCCCTCTTTATTCTCTCTACAGAGGACCCTCTGACCATTAGCATGGTAGGGGGAGGGCAAATGCTGAATGGTGAGAGCTGATCTAGAGAAAGAGGCACTGGTGCCTGGAACAAGCCTGGTATCCAGATGCTGGCATCTGGCATTCCGTCTGGCCTTTGATGCCCCTATTCAGAGACAGCTGCAGAACTGAGAAGCAAGGAATGCCAAAGATGGGCATTTTTCTTGGAGTCCCAATCCTAGATGTGCTTGGAAGCATGAGTTGCTAGAGGAACCCAGCGCTGGGCAATGGGCCCCAGGCCCTTCACTTCTTCAGTCCAGTGAAGCTCCCTCACCACAAAGAACCCAACCTACCTGCATGGGGCTTGCTGGCCGCACAGATGACCCAGATCCCTAGAGCCTGGTGGAGGCTCAGTGGACTCCGACCACACAGTACTGCAGGCACACGCCCAGGCCATGCGGGGGCCTGCCATCGCTGGGCAGGTGTCAGAGCCTATGGCCTGAACTCCTTCCCATCCCCAGGCCTGGTTCAGCAGGCTGGGAGGACTTTCTCCTCCAGCTGGCTTCACTGACCCTGTGAGGCTCCCTCTCTTGGTATTGCCTTAGTAACCCTCGCAGAGGACCAAGGAGGAAGCAAGAATAAGGTGAGAGGCTGCACCTTCTCCAACACCTGCCTTCTACCTCCGAGTTTGAGCTGGTCATGCCTCTGCCCCAGATAGCATCCAGTTCAACAAGGGTGTCCAGAGCTCCTCAAGAACTGAAGAACGGTTTCCATCTCCCCGAGTATACTCACCTAGACTCAGAAAGCTCAAGAAGATGGACGATTTGCATCGTGGGGCTAATTCATGGTGGAGAGACTCACCTGTGAGCAGGGCACTGAAGCCTGTGGGAGGCCTTCCTGAGTGGTCTGGAGTTAGACGGGGTATGGGCTTGGGTCCACCCTTCCCCAGCCCTGTGGCAGCTGGCCACACTCCAGGGAGTGTGCAAATGCGCCCCAACAACACCTAGAACTAAAGCCCCTTTTCTTCAGGATTCATTTCCAGAATCGGGGTGAATTTCCTTATTTATTATCGTCCATGCCTTTCTTTTCCCCTCTAGCCTTATCCAATTGTGCTTTGAAGAGACCCTAGCAACCAAGACCCAACCTCCAAAAGCCACGGCCAAACCGGAATCTCCCAGCTTTCCCCTTTGCTTCCAGGAGAAAGTTTACTGAAAAACCACCTTCTGGTTTCGTTTCTCCCAAAACAACACATCCCTGCAAGAAAACAGAGATCTTCCGTGTATCAAACCTGCATCTGAAGCAGAAAACGGAAGGCTCTTTGCAGCCACTTGGTATTTCATGCCGCCTAATTTATAATAAAGGGAGAGTTAAGGTGTTGCAAGAAGTAGAAATGGTCATGGTTTTTGTTATTAACTTCAGGAAATCTGTGTGGCTCCCTGGGCAGAGGTGGGGAAGGGGGTGAACGTCCTATTGATGAACGGAAGTCTTCACTCCCTTTTCGTTCTTACAGGAAACATAAATAACAAAACAGTATTTCTAGCACGTCTTTGAGGCGGCTTGTCCACTGCCTGCAGAGTTCTAGAAAGAGCCTTTGAAGGCTGGCTGTAGGATGGGACAGCAAGTGGCAGTGAGGGCAGAGATACATCTTTTCAGTGAAAACATTCTGTCCCTAGTGCTCCTGGACCTTTCCCTTTAGGACAGTCCCAGCCCTCTTTCCCCTGAGTCTTCCTTCCCAAGCATGCCTGACTTTACCCAGCGTTTGCATACTTGCTGTACCCAACACCTCAGGACTGCATTTCCCCCACACCTCTTGACAAGTGAGGTCCTCAGGTGACACAAACGGTTAAGGGCTTGACTACTAGCTGAAAGGTTGGCAGTTCAAACTCACCCAGAGGGACCTTAGAAGAGAGGCCTGTTGAACTGCTTCCAACAGGTCACTGCCTTGAAAACACTGGAGCTCCTTTCTACTCTGCACACATGGGGTCATGATAAGTCAGAATCGGCTCTTTGGCAACGACAACCTGACGGGTGACATGAGCGGCCAGCCCAAGTCCTGGAGGTTGGTTAGGTTGGGAGGGTCCTAGCCCCTCAAAGGCCACCCCCACTTTATGCCTCTCTGAAGTGCAGTCTGGGTTGAGAAGCTGGGGACCTTCACAATCAAGAATGGCATTAGATTCACCTAGAGGGATTGGTCAAATGCCTAGACCCCACCTTGGACCTACGTGGTACCCAGAATCCACCTCTGGAGTGGCCAGGTGAGGCTTCATTTGTCAGACTCCCCAGGTAACAGATGGCACCCCTAGTAGAGGAAGCCTTCTCACTTCCTCTACAAATGGAAAATCCAAGTAAGCTGCTTTCCCTGCAGAAAGATGTACGTTGGAGAAGCCAAGAGGCCTGCGTGGAATCTGAGAGCCAGTGGCATCAGCTGTACCACAGTGTCCTATATCCATGGTGCTTGTGCCCCTCACACTAGTGACAGGAGAATCAGAGCAGGCGGGGGAGGCAAACGGTGGTGAGGGTTCCTGTCTAGCAGGTCAGCAATAGTCCATGGGAATGTATCAGGAGCCTAACATGCACGAGGCATTATGGAAGATAGAAAAATGAGAAGAACCAGGCCTGTGCCGTGGGAGGGGCGGAGTAAGGTCAGGTCCTAGCTACTCACCTGCGAAAAGCACAAAAAAAGATCAAAACCTGCCAGTGGTGGCCTCAAAGAGGAAGCCCAGTCAAGATCTGTTTCTCAAGTGTGCTCCTGGGTTACTCCCATCAGTATCACTAACTGGGGTGCAGGTTCCAGGACCACACCATAGACGTCAGTGGAATCTTTAGGACTTGGTTGGGCACAGTGCATTTTGCCAAGTTACCCAGGTGATTCTGAAAGTCCAAGAACCACTGGTTTCTGAGGGCAATTAGGAAGACCCTCCTAGTGGGGGTGCCACCTGATACAGTCTCTGAAAGGTGGGTAAGGCTGTGACCAGGACAAGCATTCCAGCCAGAGCAGAGAACAAAGGTGGGGAAGCAGATGAACATAAGTAGGTAGCATTTAAGTAGCACCCATCATGTGCCAGGCACCCCTCTGTGAACATTTAATCCTCATGGGAGTTTTATGGTGTGGGTGCCCTTACTGTCCTCCCTGTATTCCAGAGGAAGAAACAGACGCATGGGATGATTAAGTGGCATAGCCAAGATCACGTTGGTAGGTAGCAAAACCAGCTTTTGAACCCAAGCAGTGCTGGTATATGCTAAGAAATCAGTAAATAAGATTGAAAATATAGAGTAAGGCTGAACCATAGAAAGCCTTGGATACTAAGCTGCAATACGTTTGGACTTCCAACAAGAAGCAGTGGTGAGCCATTGGTGATTTTTCAATGAGACAGTAACCTGATTGGCCTCAAAAGTATGGAGTCCTTAATAGGTGGTCAGTGCTGTGTTGGGTGCTTTTGTTGAGAATTGTGGCAGCAGTGAGTGAAGGTCCAGGAAGTCTTGACATCAGTCACTGAGGGCTGTGATTCAGAACATTCTCATACTCTGTCTAGTCTCCAGCTCATGGGACAGAGCTGGAAGGTTGTTTGGTTTGGCCAGGGAACCGTGAGGAGAGAGCCAAGAACCACATGGTGAAAGGAAATGGGTGCCTTCAAGTCACCTCATCCCCAGCCCACTCAACCCTCCTCTGCCTGGCCTCCCATCCCTACCCTGGGAGGGGGGTTGGTCACAGATAGCTTTTCTCATTGCTATCCAAAGATAGCTTGTTTAAGTAGTTGAGTTTTGTTTTAAATAAAAATAATATACTCATGATTAAAAAAAAAATTCAACCAATGACAGAAAACTTAAGTAAAAGATAAAAACTCCCACTCCTGACTTCTCAGCCTGCTCTCCAGAGAGAACCAATATTAAATTTATTGTGTATCCTTCCAGCATTATTCCAAGAATAGATACATCACGTGTGTGTATGCGTGTCCCTTTTGTTTTTTTATAACATAAGTGGCTTTCTACCATCTAACTTTTCTTGGACATCTTTCGTTGGACATTTAATTTTGTCTTATTCTTTAAAGTAGTTGCTTAATATCTCATCGTACACATGTCCCCTAATTGACCCATCCTTTCCTCCCTACGCATGCCCCCTACTCCAAGAATCAGGAACACTTACATGGCAACCATTTTTTTTGTCATGATAAACAACACAATAGTGAACGTCTCTGTGCACACAACTTGTTTTGTTCCTCTCCTGGTAATTATTATACTCTGCACTCAACAAGGACTCCTCCATGTTCCAGATGGTTAATGCTCTCGGTGCTAACTGAAAGGTTGGTGGTTCCAGTCCACCCAGAGGGACCTCG